TTGGTGGATCAAGACCTAAATGTTTAGGACCAGATTGTTATATTAAATTGGCTATTAAATGTATGGATAAAGATTTTGATAAAAGACCTACTGCAACAGAAATTATTGAAATAATCACAAGTTGGTTAAATGAAATGGATCAGGAAGATGATAATGAAATCAAAAAGCAATTTTTGGAAGCCAATAATACTAAGCCAGAGTCAGTTAAACAAATACATTCTCAAGAAGTTTATACTAGTAAGTTATATAATACACAAAAATTTTCCGAATATATTAGTAAACCAATGAGTACAATCGAAATTTCGAACAAATTCTCCAAATTAGATTTAAATTAAATTATATAAATATGTGTTAATGTAACGTGCACTTGGGAAGGTGCAACTGTAGGAATTTTTTCTTAGGCATCAAAATTTTTACAATATTGAATCCCAATATATTAAATAGTTAAATATTTTCTTTCCACTTAATCTATGAATTATTTTTTATTGTTTTGGTGGCTTTTTTTCTTCGGAGCAGTGTTAAAGATTTAAAGTTATCAATGTTCTCAAAAAAATTTAAAAAATTTTAAAACTCTGCATTTAAATCATGATTTCTTTTTAGAACAAACTAAGAACATAAAATTTATAATTTTTGATCTCATAAGATATATATGAAAATGGTATAATTAGTAAATTTGAAATTTTTTTTTATCATTAAGAGCATTAAAAATTTTTGAAAACATAAAATTATCAATTATATTCTCGAAGAACAAAAAGATCCTTTCACTGCTTGGGAGTAAGAAATTTTTAAATTAATTTTATCATCTTTTTTGAATTTTCTGTCTCAATATATCAGATATCCTTTGAAATATTTTGTTTACATTTAATAAAAATATAAATTTTGATTTTAAAATTGATTGAGAATTACCAATGTGCTAATCAACTTAACAAAGCAATTTTTCTTAATATCGTTATTTTAACTTTGTACTAAATTAAATATTGAAAAGCTATGCTATTTAATTATAGATCACAAGTAAGTTAAAGTATTCTTTTTTTTTTTTTGAAATTTACGTTACCAACAATACTAACCAATAATATTTCGAGAAACAGTAAAAGTACCTTCTATAGTTAAAGTATTAAGCGAAACCTAGAGGTTTTGCATTGGCAAAAGTCGAAACCTAGTTTTGACTTTTGTCAAAAATTTTTGAAAGGGCGAAATGCGAAATTGGCGAAACTAACGACACTGATAAAAAGTGATAAATGAAGGTGAGAGGTGGTAAAACTTACGAAAGACTCCGAAGATTCGATATAACAAATTTTTGATGATATTTGTTTACATAATTGATAAGCACGATTAAAAGAAAAAAAAAAAGATTTAAAAGATGAGTTTGAAAAACATGGCATAATATCTGTAATTCGAATATGTTTGCTGGCGATGAAATTTTAAGTCTTTTTATAAACTCAGCTGCTTATGGTCACATTTATTCGAATATCCAATCATTCCCAGCATGGGCAATAAAACATTTGAGTACATGATAATTGAAAAGTGCTTTAAAGTTTGGTCAATAGATAGCATTTATATTTGGGTTAGGTGCGGGTGGTTTGTCTAGTAAACTTGCACAAAAAAATCTTTTTTGGTATTCAAAAGGCGTATATTATTATTATTGACTTAGCTATTACAGTAGTGCAGATATTAAACAAGTATTTTATTTACTATTACAAGTACTTCGTTGGTTACTCTTTCAACAACCTTAAGAGCAAAACTTTGTAAAATAGCTTATTTACAAAACAAAAAAAATCCAATCTGCCGCTATCGATACCGATATGCGTTGAGAATTTATTTATATATTGGTAGTGAATAAATTATAATTTATAATAATACATGCTAAATTTTAAGTGGCCTGCAATTGTTTTTTTAATCGTCAGTCTAGTTCTACCTCAAAACAAATGTTGTATCGCGTTATTCAATGTTAGATGATGGATGATTTTACGTATACCAGAATGTCAAAATCATAGTGGTGGCAGAAAAATTCGCGATCAGATGATTGACCCAACCCAATCAATGATCAATAAACTTCCATTAATAATGCAGTACTATGTTTAATTGCATAAATATTATATTCTGTTTTCATTATGAAGTTCAGAACGATTAAAACCATCTGATCGCGAATTTTTCCTGACACGTATGGGCGCATATGCAAGGTCTGGAGTGACTACTGTGATTAAAAGTGTAAAATTTTTTATGAGTTACTTATCAGTTGCTTATCAATTTTTTATATAGTTTACTTTATGGGTCTTTAGATAATTTACGAGCTCTTATCAGTTTTTACAGTTACTCTATAGTAATTTAGAACATCAAATTTAATTTTAATAATCACAATGTTCCGACTGTAAATTTCGCCCATAATGTACGATCACTGTTACTTTCAAAAGCAGAGGAAATTAAGAGATTAAAGGTTTTAGAATGAGAGACTCGTGAAAATAATTAAGATTATGAATTTTGAAGCTGCCCCAGATAAGCCGTGAAGCCGATGGTGATGATTCTACAAGGGTTTCTATTTTATGATAACCTAATATTGGCGTCAAAGTCGGGCGTAATCTGCTTAACCTTTGATTTAAGATTAAATATAAGCTAAAAAAAACCGTGATTTTTCAAAAAAAAATTCAATAATTTATTTATTTATTCAAACTATTCAAAGAATTTAATTCGTAAATATTAAATCTGATTACATCCAAACCGGAATATTTCAAAATGTTTATATTCAAAATTCTAATAGTTTATGCTGTATATCGGAACGGAATTTTGCTAGATTTAGAATTAACTAAAGTTTATTCTAAATACAGTACACAGAATTTTTAAATTGAATTAAAAAATTTGAATTAACTTAGAATTAATTCAGAATCCACTTAATGCATATTCAATTTTAAAATTAAAAGCGATTGAATTTAATTTAAATAGTAATATATTGCAAAGTATTTATGCATATATTCTATTAAAGCTCCATCTGGAAAGCTAACCACCAAAATTAAACCAACCTGAACTCGGTCAAAAAATTATTAGGACGATTGGTTTTGCCATAACGCATTTAAAAACTTGCGCAAATTGTCAACTCTTAATGAAACATAACATTATTGTTCAGTAAATCTACCAATAAAATTAATATATGCTGTAAGTTTAAACGGAATTTAAGTGGATTCGGAATTTATATAAAAACCTCATTTGGAGGTTGATTTTGTCATATGTACACCCTAACCCTAGTTTAACAAGGAATTAATTTATAAATTACATACCGCATCTCATAGTTTTGAAGAACCAACGTGTTTTAACCACCTTGGTGTAAATACAAAGTATGTCATATGTTCTATAGACAGGACATATATCGGAAATTTGACACAACTTTTATGTTACTATATCAGGTATGTCTCTAGTTTCAATAGTTTTATTTTGTACGCCATAATGGCGTTCTGCGGTAAGTATGCCAAGGGTTAAAAAAAAAAAAAAAGTTTATTTAATGGTCTTGAGCTTTAATACTGAAATTTTTTGTGTAATAAATTAAGGGTTTACGACGCCTATTAACAGATTTGTGATCAAGAAATTTTAGTAAGCTTTTCAAATACATTGTGAGGTCGAGATAAAAATTAATATTCTAATATTCTTGTAACTCGGACATTTTTAAAAAATTTTGCAGTTTAGAGATTTACAAATAAGAACTCAGTCTCGTTTACATAAAATCATTTTTATTGATTTGATAATGATTAAATTTTTTAAATCAACTTATTAAGTGGGATTTGAATTCTCTATTCAACCGAGCTAGTATAAAATTTCGTTGTAATATGAGTAACTTGAGTTGATCGGAATCCACAAAAATTCAATTTCGACGTACAGGTGAGTACAAACGTTTACCCTTCTATCAGATAGTATGTCGATTTTCAAATAAAAGAAAGTCTGAGCGTTTATGGAATAGAATGGTCTAATTATTTGTATTAGTAAGTTCTAATAAGGTCTAATAAGGTTGAATTGACTAAGCTTTATGATATTCTTCAACAACGTTGCACTACTATAGTCATGACTCTTAGCGCGTTAGTTAATATAATATTTAACTGAGATCACATAACTAATAAGAGTCAGAACCGAGAGCAAAGTGCCAAGTTTCGTTTAAATGTATAGTTAAAGACCTCCTATCATTATATACAGTAGGATATTTTTTTTTTTAATTATAGATTTCCGATTTAAGCAATCCGTTATCGATAACGCTAATTGATTATCTACATACATTACTGCATATTAAACGATAATGTTAACTAAATTTAGATTGTGATACATATGCTAAAAAAATGGATTAAGTAGCCGAGCAAATTACTCAAATTAATTTGTTTCAAAAATGTCTTATCAATTCTTTTTAAAATATTTAATTTACACGATTTTACTTTTTCATTTACTTCGATTTCAATTTCCTAAAATAAATATTTTGGAAGTAATAATTATAATTTATTTTATAAAAAATTTATATAAATTAATCATATACACGTTAAAAATTTCATTAATAAAATCAATAAATGAAAAATCTCAAAAATTATATTTTTGTAAAACGTTTCATGCTAGATTTTTTCCTAAAAAACATGCTTTTGAGTATCCGATTTTATATATTGGAGTTGATTTAGGATTACTTGAGAAAAATGGGCGAGGAGGATTTATGTGAGTTTTTTTTTTTTTTAATGATATTTATATAAGTTTCGTAGTTCATATTTAAAAAAATTAATCGATTCGGGGGGTTTTTTTAAAGACTAGGGTACAATAATAGAATGGCTATTTTTAATATAAATGATGATGACTATCTTGGTCGTGTTAACGAACATGATCTTACCGAAGGCACGGCAAAAAAGAAGAGAACTATAAAAGAAAAGCTATTCTGGCATATCAAAAAACATGTAAATATCATTTATCTTTTTAAGAATTTACCATTTATCTCTTTAAGAATTTACCATTTATCTCTTTAAGAATTTACCATTTATCTCTTTAAGAATTTTAAGATATATATTATTAACTCATAAGTAAATATTTAATTATTTATATAAAGGATATACCAACGGAAAACCTATGCCGAGCTGAATTAGTTACAATGCCAAGATTTTGTGGTTATGCATTTAATCCTGTTAGCTTTTATTATTGCTACGATATTAATGATGTTTTGAAAGTCCTTGTTTTGGAAGTTAATAATACTTTTGGTGAAAAACATTTATATATTTTGGATCGTGATAATGAAGCTGATAAATCAATCAGACTTGGGTATGTATATTTAATTAATAAATAATTTGACTCTTTAATTCGTTAAATATATCTACACTTACTCGTATAACGTTTTTGTAGGTTTGATATGAGTTTTACTATAAAACGTGCATTTCATGTATCACCTTTTAACGATCGAAAAGGCATATATAAAGCATTCTGTAAAGATCCTAAATCAGGGTACCTGGATATGAGACTAGTCATGTATACAGATCCTTCTCATTCGGATGATGTTTCTAGTGATAATATTACCTACAAGAGTAATACGCCGATACAACGATTTAGAAAAAAATTGGTTGCGACAGCATCTGGTCATTCATATTCTCTAAACCTGATTAGTGTGATTTATGCGATAATGACATATCCATTAGAGATTTTCTTAACTATGCCACGTATTCTTAAAGAAGCATACAAATTGCATTATTATAAGAATTTGGGAATATATCATAGACCTATTCCAGTCGAGGGAACTGTTGTGAAATTGGATCCAAATTTCATTGATCGGTAAGAATTAAAAGATATTTCTAATCAACTGTGCTTAAATAGTTTTCATCATAAAATATCTTTATTATTGACTTTTATATATTTTTAATAAATAGATACGCGCAAGAGATAATTACAAAATATCTCTTTTACCTTGTCTCCAAGCATACCTCAATAATTAATATCACTATACATCTTCCAGATCCGAATATACCTCCAATTCAAATATATCCCGACAACTATAATGGAGATCTTCAAAACATTAAGCACATTAAGATTTCATTGCATAATTATTCATTTTTTACCAATCTTTTAATTAATCAAAATTTTTATCGAGCGTTACTTATCGGATATTTTGAGAAAGCATGGGATTGTAATGATTTACCGTCGTTGATCGACTTATTTTTTAATCATCCTAATATCATTGAGGATGACCTAAAAGATAAGCATGATAATTCGATACACAGAGATAATAAACAAAGGTTAAGCTTTTATGAATCTAAAACCGCAATGATAAGAAGATGGTATTGGAAAAAATTATTAAATGATGAGAATACTGGAGGTATTAAATCGAAACAAGAGTTTGATGAAATGTTACATTCACTTTGGCCAGCTGAAGGTGTAGATCAAGATTTTATCGCCAGTATAGCACAGAATGATGTTTGTTTTGATCTAAGGCTTAAAGCAATTGTATGTTTTTTTATTTATCATTTCTTATATTAATTTAAATTCGCATATATATTTTAAAGAAAACAATTCTAATATACATATTATCAATTCGTAGATTAACTCGCACAAAAACATTGCAATAGCATTCCGAGATCTTTTAATAAAAAACAACGAAAATAAGATATTAGCATTATTTGGATATACCCATTTATACCTACTGACCATTCCATCAAATAATTCGATTAAACATCTACAACCTTTAATTTCACATCAACTACATTTATTACCATTTCCACCACGGTACATTCCGTATGAAGGTAAAGAACCAATAATACACTTAATTGATAGATTTGTGCTTTTAGATAATTATTCAATATTTAAAAAAAGGTGGGAAAAAATAAAATATTTGTTAATGATGGGATTAATGACATGCGCATATAAAGCAGATTTTAAATTCTGGAAATTGACTACGAGATTTATTGATGGACCTAGTGGGAATCCATTTTTAGGTGAGAAGTGGTTGTGGGAGGGAGTGATTAACTTGTTAAAGAGTGGAAAAGATTATGAAAAGGAAATTTATAGGAGTGACGATGAAGAAAAGAAAGAAAAAGAAAATAAAAACTTTCTTGAAGGATGGGAGGTTGTTTATGAAAGAAAAGGTAAGATTTTTCTTTGATTATAAACGTTATTTTGATTTCTAAGTTTCATGTGACGTTTTTTTAATTCAGAATGCGTATGATTATTTATTTTAGCAAATAATAATAAGCTTGAACTAATGACATTATCATCGCCTTTACCACTTTTACCAAGAGAAGATGAAATACTAAAAGAAGATAGACAATTTAGATTATGGTATTTTATGAAATGTTATAGAAATGGGGTATTGTTTAGAAATAACGATCTTTAAAAATCTATAATTATTATTAAATGTATTTAACAATTTTATAAAATTTGTAATGCGTGAAATCGATTAGATAATATAAGATTGGTTGGGTAATACTATAACGAAGGATTATGTTAAATCACATTATTAAACTTGTTATTCATATATAATAAGCAGACATCTGAGTATAGAAGAAAAAAGCTGGCATTTGAATAAAAGACTAGTAAATTTAAAATGCCATAACAATCACTTCGCCGTTATTTATTCACCGTCGACGACAAGTTCATCTTCAATTACTTCACTGACAATATATCCAACTACGTTCTAAAACGAAGAAACAATAATTTTACATACAACTTAACTCTCTTTATAAAAAAAAAGATTAATTATAAAGATTATATTGTGTTATGTGTATGTGTAGTTTTTGTTTATTGGTAAGCGATTGTCAATAAATTAATTATTAGCGAGGTGAATAAATACGTTTATAAAATTTTATGAAATGATTGTTGATAAAATAAGCTGCTCCAGTTTATTCAACTTTGGATTAGAGTTTTAGAAATTTGAGCGGAGTTGAATTGTTTGATAAATATATATCGAAAATATTTATAAAATTATCGGTTTGAAATCAGTAATCTTTTTTAATCACTCTATAAATAATAATAATCACAGACTGATAACATGAATTGCCAAGAACTAAATAGATCAATAAGAGTAGATAAATTAAAAAAAAATAGTTCTAAATTTATTGATGGATGCTTTCAATAATCTGATAAATATTATACGAATTATTTTATCGTAAATATATATAAAGTTAGCATGTTACTTTCTCAAAAATTCAAAAATTAATACAGTACTACCAAATTTCATTTACAACACTTTCAAAGATTACGAATATGCTATCCAATTATAATTGTGTCGTCTTCTTTATCCTAATCGCTGTACTCATGGTTAAAGCCATTCCTAAACAAAATCTACGTGTCCGCAATCCCTGCTTTCCAACGATTGATACATGCGTTTCTTCCTGCGCTGCACCAAAATTAATTCAAGACTCTTCAAGCGCTTCAAGTAACAATTACGAATCATGTTTTTCAAATAATCATGCTCTCGAAAGTTGTGATGATCTTGAACAACAGGTCGCCTATTGTAATCAAAATGAAAATAATTACAATCTCATGTGTAAACGTACACCTTTAAATAATTTACGATTCCACTACAAACAGCCACTTTTTATGGTCCGCTCTTTATTAAACAAACGATCACCTTTAATCTTGGATATTGGAAGTGAAGGGTATAATCAATTTCAACAAGAGAATTTATGTGATTCAGATCGTGCGGAATGTTGTTTACAACAACAGCAACAAAGTATTTGTAATGAAAACGAAAATTCATTTTCAAGAATTGGAAAACGATGTTTAAACAAAAGGATAATGAATATTGGAAATCGAGGTCAAAAGAGGAGATCGAATGGTAGAAGTTATCTTAGTAATTGTAACGGATTATATAAGAGAGATAGAAATTATCCGAGATTTACGCGTGTAATCCCTCCGTGTTTTTAATATTTCTGTATTACATTAAACAAAATAATTACATATTGGCTATGATATATTAAATATTTATTTATGTTATCGCTATGTATTTTATAATTTATAATTTATTCAATATATATGAAAATAAACTAATTCTCTGCACATATCGGCTGATTTAATTTTTTTTTTTCGATAAACTATTTTTAAGTGAACAAACGGAACATTTAACATTTGTCACAATCAATAAAGAGTTTGTTTTAATATCTATGCAAAATAAAAAAAACAACAACCAAAATAGCTATTTTAAGCTATATAATGAAGTATTCTGACCGTTCCTTGAAAATATTCAAGTGTTTAAAATTAGTTTGTAATTTCTGTTTAAGGATAGATTCGAATAAAAAAAAGACAATAAATTTTCACATATTTAATTATATACATAGATTGAAAACTAAACCATTCATACTGTCATATGAAAATCCTTTGTTAGTTGATAACAATTGACAATCTCAATCGTGGTTATTTTAATTGCCAATGAAAAAAAAATTTTGAAAAACAAATATTTTTGATCGATAAATAACTATTGCACGGTTCAATCTTTTAAAATAAAACAAATGTTATTTAAAAATGGCAGGTAAAATTGTACAGCATTGCATTAGCAACAATTAGTATATTGGCAAAAATCTATACTACTTTTCGTCAAAACTACAAAAAACTTGAGTTGCAGTCAGTCTTTTAAACAATTGATCCTTCAACCCAGTTTCTTGCACGTGGTTAGAAGTTAGATCAAAAAAATCTTTGGGACAAACTTCAACACAAAAAAAAGATAAAATTGATTTGAAGATTTCTTACACACAAGAAAAAACCACCCAAACACAAATAATAAGAATAATTTAAAGGAAAGAAAATATTTAACTATGTAATATATTCGGATTCAATATTGTAAAAATTTTGATGCCTAAAAAAAAATTCCTACAGTTGCACCTTCCCAAGTGCACGTTACATAAATACATTTTATATAATTTAATTTAAATCTAAATTTGAGAATTTGGTCGAAATTTCGATTGTACTCATCTGTTTACTAATATATTCGGAAAATTTTTGAGTATCATATAGCTTACTTGTATAAATGTCTTGAAAATGTGTTTGTTGCACCGACTCTGGTTTCATCTTATTAGCTTCTAAAAATTGATTTTTGATTTCACTATCATCTTCCTGACCCATTTCTTCTAACCATTGAGTGATTATTTCCTTAATTTCTGTCGCAGTAGGTCGTTTGTCAAAATCTTTATCCATACATTTCATAGCAAATTTAATAAAACAGTCTGGTCCTAAACATTTAGGTCTTGATCCACCGATAATTCTTGACACAAGATCATCATTAAACGGAATTCCATCAAATGCTTTTTGTCCGGTCGAAATCTCTGTCGCAATAACTCCAAGACTGTAAATATCTGATGCTCGAGTATACGGTTGACCTATCAAAACTTCAGGTGCTATATACGGTAGAATTCCACAAATTTTCCCTTCCTTTACTTCTTTTGAAAGTCCAAGATC